GCTATAATAAGTATATATTTGTAATATGGAATTGATAATAGAAAAACTATGGTCACAGCAATCAACTAGGCATTTCGGCGGCCAAACCTATTTTTAGTTATAACTTCGTAATGCTGTATCCCATAATTTTGATTTTCTAGAACAATAACTAGAACAACCCAGAACAACAAAGAAAATTTGATTTTTCCAAAAATGGGGGGCTAGCCAAAAAACCCGTTTTTTCGGTTTTCTAGCGGAGTTCTTATTTTTTCGATTTGCCGCTTTGGAACAATGTAAAACAACTCTAGAACAATCTAGAACAACAATAAAAAATTTAAAAATCAAAAATGGGGGGCTAACTTCCCGCACTCAGTGAAAATAGTATTTGTAGTGTTTATTACGTCAGCGTCGCGATAGTTGGGCGCGAGAAGCAGGCCTCTTAAAAAAGAACAGGTTAAAACACGTTCAAAAGAGTTGCTTTACAACCGTCACAGTGAACGGATGCACATTCGTAACATTCGAACACAGCATAACAAAGTAATGATTAAAACGCACATTAACAAAACAAAAATAAACATGTTATACGACACCGGAGCGGCACATTCGGTAATTAGTGCTTTCACATGGGTTAAAATAGGCAAACCAAAACTTAAACCGACACCAAATCTGATTGCATACACTAATTTGGAAATTAAGACCTTAGGAATCGCGAAGGTAAACGTTAAAACATTCGAGAAAAAACACAAACTTCGTTATACGTTATACAACAAAAAGAAACTCTTTTATTTGGACTTGAATGGAGTTTAAAGTTTAATTTAACTTTACCCCCTGGAGCAAAATTACGTAACACAAAGTTATCTACTCATTCGAATGAAATAAATTCAGATCAACCAAACGTTGAAAACGCAAATAAAATTTTACAACAATATAGAGATTTATTTGATGGGAGCTTGGGTACAATTCAAGGGCATATGGCTAAAATTCATATAAAACCTTCAATTCGACCAAAAGCATGTAGAGATAGAAATGTCCCACATGTTTACAGGAACTAGTAACAGCAGAAATCAACCGATTGGTTGACCAAGACGTTTTAGAATTGGTAGATGTAAGGTCTACTCCTATTGAATGGGCTTCACCGGTAGTTGTTGCTGATAAGTCGAACGGAAGCGTGAGATTGTGCGGGGATTTTCGCGTGACCATAAATCCTTATGTACAGGTCGATGATTACTCGACATTTGAAACAATTACTGCAAAGTTAAGCGGCGGGCGTTATTTTTCTACCATAGATTTCAAAGACGCATATTTTCAATTAACGGTACATCCTGATTCGCGCAATTATTTAGTTATTATAACACATAAAGGATATTATAGATATAAACGATTACCATTTGGAGTATCGTTTGCTCCAGCATTATTTCAACGAACGATGGATGCTATTCTTTCGGGAATAGATGGCGTGGTATGTTATTTGGACGATATTTTAATATCCACCCCTGACTTAAATCAACATAGTCAACGCTTACACCAAGTTTTACAAAGACTTCAAAACGCTGGAATTCGTACTCAGAAATCGAAATGTCATTTATTTAAAAATAATGTAACCTTCTTAGGGCATCGAATTGATGAGAAGGGCCTACATCCAACTCAAGAGAAACTAGAAGCTATTAAACAAATGGCTGCACCGACAAATACGACAGAACTTCGATCGTTTTTAGGAGCAATTTCATATTATATGAACTTTTAAAAAAAGGACAACATTGGATTTGGTCGAAAGAGAACAAAAAAATTTTTGAAAATTTAAAATCAATTCTGTCTTCATCTGATACTCTTATTCATTATAACCCTCAATGGCCAATAATTATCACGAGTGATGCGAGTGGCAGAGGAGCCGTAATAAAAAATTACGTCCAATTGCATATGCTTCAAGAAAATTTACAGATGTTGAAAAAAGATAAGCTACGATAGACAAAGAGGCATTGGCGATTATTTTCGCCAATTATGGTCGTAAGTTTTCGATATTCACTGATCATAGACCGCTTGAAAGGATTTTTGGTGAAAATCGTCAAACACCGAAAATAGCAAGTAACCGACTTTTACGATGGGTGATTATTTTGAATAGTTACGATTACTCAATCATTTACCAGAAAGGAAAAGACGAGGAAATGTTTTATCACGTCCACCTACTAAGAATGACGAACCTTCTGAAATAGAAAATATAGGTATGCCAAAACGAAGTCATCTATTACGATTAAGACTATCTTACTGGGAAAAAGCGGAAATTAAAAGATGAAACTAGTAAGGATGTCACATTTCAGAAAATATCTAGATTTGTTTACCAACATTGGCCAGAAAAGAAAGAGATTCCAACTGAGTTGCATTCTTTTTTCGAAATGAGGGAAGAACTGTCAATAGAAGGAAAAGAAGAATCTATATTCCTTTGTCGTTAAGAAAAGAAGTGTTCGACGTATTGCCTTAAAAAAACACTCCTCGACCTTCGGTCTCGTGGTGTTTCAGGCAATACGTCTCGTATTATCGAGTATTTTCGATCGTCTTGTTGTATAATATATGATTATTCGAAAAGGTGTGACTTGTGACTGGTGAGCAATCACATAAGAGTCAACATAAAGTGTCTTTGTACCCATGGGGAATACCAAAGGAAGTGTGGTCACGGTTACATATTGATTTTGCGGGACCTTTTGAGAATAGAATGTTTTTAATAACAGTAGACGCGTATTCCCGATGGTTAGAAGTGATACCGGTAAAAAACATTACTACGAAGACTATTGTAAATGCGATGCGTGAAATATTCGCTCGGTTCGGTATACCAAAGTCTATAGTGTCGGAAAATGGAACCCCAATTAGTATCAGAAGAATTTGGTCAATTTTGCTGAGAAAACGAAATTAACCATATTAAAGTGACTCCTTATCATCGAAAGTCAAAGGGCTCGCGGAGCGTGCGGTACGTACTTTTAAATCGAGAATGAACGCGAGTGATAAAAATGAAGATTTTGAAGTGCGGTTTTATAAATTTTTATTCGCATATCGAAACACAATTCATGCTTCTACAAAAAGAACAGCCAGTGAATTGTTACTGGCAAAAAGACCAAGAAACCAATTCGACACCCTTAAACTAGATGGTACAATGAACATGGAAACAGCACAAGAAAAGCAAAGAAATTATTATGACAAAAATACACGTGAAAAGAACTTTGAAACTGAGGAATCCGTTTAGGTTGATAATCCAATAACAAAACAATCATTGAAAAAAGAGGACCTTACTCATATATAGTGGATGTAAATGGAACACCAAAAAGAAAACATGCAGATCAATTACGTCAAAGGATAGTAAAATCAAAATATAAAAATATAAAATCACCAAGAGAATTGATCCACCACATTTTGAGCAAATTGAAACACCACCGGGAGTGAGTGAACCTGAATCTCCACCACAAATGCAGACACCAGAAATAGTGAACGTGGAACCAACTGTTGAAGACAACCAGTCAAATGGTTGTCCACCACCCGAAGACGAAGTTTTTAGAAGAAATCCTCCTCGAAATCGTCAACTACCTGTCAGGTATCGAAATTAAAGTAAATTTTGAGGGAGGAATGTAGGCCTCTTAAAAAAGAACAGGTTAAAACACGTTCAAAAAGAGTTGCTTTACAACCGTTACAGTGAATAACATACAATACCAAACAGATTGTTATTTTCTTTTAAAGTATAAATTGCTAATAGAGAGATTAAACCATAACATAACAGTATTTAATGTAAACCCACAATCCACAGTATTGAAAGGGAGACTTCATGGAGCGATTTGTTTATCAGACGACTGAAAGAAGAAAAAATAGCCTCGGCTTCTTCTAAGCAAAGAAAAAGGGGTAAAAAATTGAATGTTCTTCCTGAAAAATCGGTGATTTCTGGGAAAACTATTGAAGATATCACAAACTGCCACTCATCCCGATAAATATGACATGAATTAATTTGAATCAGATTCAGAAGATGAAAATATATCCGAAAGGTTAGAAGATACAGCAGATGAAAATTTAGAAGAAGTCGCGCAGGAAGATGACAACGCTGACAATCTGACAGCAGAGTTAACACCATGTTAACACTAACTGAAAATGATTTTGTTATGGTAAAATATCCAAACGATAGAGGTGATCGCTGCTTCCACTATATTGGAAAAGTCATGAGAGAAACCTCTTCCGACACAAATGATTTGATAATCAAATATCTTCGCAAGACTGGTGTGAAGTTATCCATAAATCCCAGCCATAAACTTAAAACATTAATAATTCCGTAACCAATACGATTTGGGTAACCAAATTTCACACACAGATCACTCTTACCCTCAAGAACAGCTTACCACCCCCATTTGGTAAAAAAAAAATTTTCAACCCCCACCCTCGAAAAAGAGATGTTTTCGCCCTAATGGGCACCTTCGAATTAAACCAAATTCTACCACATAATAGAACACACTTCTAAGTATTTTTATTAATTTTCAAAACACCGTAAGCCCTAACGGTTTTCGAGAAAAAAATCATTCTTATAAACCGCGGATGGGACTTTAGGGGTGAATTTGACGCCGTAATAGAAATGTGTAAATGTTGCGGTCTAATTTTAATTTAGATATTGATGGTTTCATGCTATTATACTCTTCAGTGGTTAACTTTACCGATCCTTCAAAGTGAACGTAAGAATTTAAAACCCTTAAATTTTCTGGAAACACGTTTTGGGAAAATGGGGACAATTCGCAATTACTTATATTATATAAATTTATAATATGTTGATCAAGTTTGGAGTTTTCGTTAGTTATATCTACAGTATTATTTATACAACTAATTGATTTTGGATCATTGAGTTCAATCGAATTCGTTTAGGTTTTTGAACCTTCAGACGTACTATCCTGACTAATATTATCAATTGTTTTGATGTTAATGTTGTCAAAGCTTTCATGAACACTAACATCAAACAAGGTTGGTGTAATACGCGCTAATACTTCGTTACTATTATCTAAATTAAAACTAATATTTTGATCTAAAGTTTCGTTAATTGTAGCAATCTCATAATGTCTTAACTTTTTAAGTACCTTTGTTGTTCGAGGGAGTTTAGTAACTATCCTATTCCAAACTTTTTTTGAATTGTTACCATAAATAAACTCTGCAGCCCTTATAATTTCATCTCGAGTGATGAACCTACATGCACCTTATATGAAGGAACAGCAGCTTATCGAAAGAAATTAACCAACTCGTCAGTAAGAAAATCCATGACAGACCTTTTAAATATCACAGTGCAACAGCCATTCTGGGGGGTAAAAATTTTAAGTCAGGGTAAAAGTACTAGGTCAATATAGTAAAATCTCCTAAGGGTTTGACGTTCTCAGGCCAAACTGTTTTTTTTGACCTTTTATATTTCTTTCCTTATCTTGATGTTTGTTTGCTTAGTTTTTCAGTTATAACTCAAGAATCATTGATGATTTTTTATTTCATTCTTCAGCAAAGACTAAGGCTTAAATGAATAATTTTCATTACCATATCCATGTAAAAAATTAAGTTGAACTAATTTTATCGACTGAAATCTTAAAAAAATTGTTAAATCTCGAAAATAAAAAAAAATTCTCTTTGAAAAATAACGTCTTTACTCGAGAGTTCTACGAATTGTAACTATAAAAGAGTATTCTAATATAAGTATATAGTAATACAGTAGTACTATATTAAAGAGAGAGAACAATATTTATTTGGAATATAAAAATAATAACTATAACAAATACGAATAAATAAAAAAAAATACATATATAGAACAAATATAAGATAAGTCCAAATGGGCTATAGATCTAAGTCTTCCTGCCCGAAGAGTATTGTCTTTATGAAAATTAACAAAAATTAAGGACAAACTTAGTTTAAAGAAGAACAAAGTTTATATGTTCATAAACATTGCTCTAGAGTCTAGGCCTTTTCGATGGTGATTGTTGTGGGCTAGTGTCATCGGTATGGCAATCATCGCTGTCATCAGTTTCTAAGCCACACATAATGTCAACTTGTGACTCCACTGCTGACCCTACTGCAACTTCTGGAAATTCTTCATCATCAGGATAATCCATGTCTTCGAAGACATGTCTACTCCACCAGCAAATTTCCGCAAGTATTGCACTAGGCGACTGTTTTCCTCTGTATTTTCCTCTGGTGCCGAAAGAGAAGATATTGCTGCCTCCACTGCACATTAAACTTGGAATTGTTAAGAATTTCATCAAAACTGTCGCCAAACGAGATACAGTTTTCTTATGTTTGAAATTAATTTACCCGAGACTCAGCGAAAGTAAAATTAAAGAAGGTAGTTATAATAACATTCATTTGTTCAATTTCGTGGAAAATTCGAACATTTCCAAACATATTTCTCATGATTTTCTATCGCAATAAATTAATTTTTTCCATCAGGCGTACTAAATGGTCCAGATATACGAAAGCTTATTAAAAGTGACGCATTCAACAATATTTTGATTGAGGCTGAATTGGATGCTTGGAACGCAATTAAAGAAGTAATAGAAGGCTTGTTGGGAAAGCATCGTTCTAGCAACTACAATGTTTCTGTCGCAAGGATGTTAACATCGCTCTCGAAAATTGGCGTCCACATGTTCTTGAAAATTCACTATTTACATCATCATCTGGACTACTTCAGCAGACAATTGGCCACTGAATCTGATGAACATGGCGAACGCTACCATCAAGTTGCTATGCCATTTGAAATTAGGTAATATCTGTGAGATTTTTTTTCAAACTCATTTTAATAAAAAAACAAATCACAGATACAGAGGAAAACTGTCGCCGAGTGCAATACTTGCGGAAATTTGCTGGTGAAGTAGACATGTCTTCGAAGACATGGATTATCCTGATGATGAAGAATTTCCAGAAGTTGCAGTAGGGTCAGCAATGGAGTCACAAGTTGACATTATGTGTGACTTAGAAACTGATGACAGCGATGATTGCGAAAGCGATGACACTAGCCCACAACAATCACCATCGAAAAGGCCTAGACTCTAGAGCAATGTTTATGAACATATAAACTTTGTTCTTCTTTAAACTAAATTTGTCCTTAATTTTTGTTAATTTTCATAAAATCAATACTCTTCGGGTAGGAAGACTCAGGTCTATAGCCCTTTTGGACTGATCTTATATTTGTTTTATATATGTATTTTTTTTATTTATTCGTATTTGTTATAGTTATTATTTTCATATTTCAAATAAATATTGTTCTCTCTCTCTAATATAGTACTACTATATTACTATATACTTATAGTAGAATATCCTTTTAAAGTTACAATTCGTAAAACTCTCGGGTAAAGACGTTATTTTTCAAATAGAATTTTTTTTTTTTCGAAATTTGACAATTTTTGGAAGATTTCAGTCGATAAAATTAGTCCAACTTAATTCTTTACATGGATATATTAATGAAAATTATTTATTTAAGCCTTAGCTAAGCCTTAGTCTTTGCTGAAGAATGAAATGAGAAATCATCAATGATTCTTGAGTTATAACTGAAAAACTAAGCAAACAAACATCAAGATAACGAAAGAAATATAAAAGGTCATAAAAAAAAAGTTTGGCCTGAGAACGCCAAACCCTTTGGAGGTTTTACTATACTGGCCAAGTACTTTCATCCTGACTTGGAATTTCTCACCCCCCGAAAATGTTCCACAGTGTATTTAATATTAAAAAAAAAAATTGACTAAAAAGAAAATATCTAATAACCCTATATTGTTATTTAAGCAACACGTATTAAAAATTGTGAACTACTCTGTGTATTAATTTATACTATAATAAAATAAAATGTACGTCTACCTTTACTAAACCACCAGTGTGAAAACAGCACGCCAAACATAGCATGCCATTTCAGCGAGATCACCCGGTATACAGTGAAGTCGGTTTTACACTCTCCAATTTGTAAACAACAAAACTACAGAAAATTCGATTATTATATTGATTCCAAAGGTCGATCAATTTGAATCAGAGCAATAAATACATTTGAAAAATTAGCGTAAATAAATTGTTTTGCTCCGATTTCGTAAAGGCTGTCTTACCCTCATATTAAAAAAAATCGCCCGGTGTTAATGACGGCAGTCCCCAAAGATCTGATAGTTGCTAAATATACCAAAACATCCCACCTGTCGAATAACGTGGCCACATTTACTTGCTCTGAGTTTCTAAGGGCTCTTTTATTCACTCCCATATTTAAAAAAATCGCCTGTGTTAACGACGACAGTCCCCAAAAATCTGATAGTTGCTTAGGAAGATAGAGCAAGTAAATGTGGCCACGCTACTCGACAGGTGGGATATTTTGGTATATTTAGCAACTATCGAATTTTTGGGGACTGCCGTCGTTAACACAGGGCGAATTTTTTTAATATGGGGGTGAACAAAAGAGCCCTTAGGAAGTCAGAGCAAGTAAATCTGGCCAGGCTATTCGACAGGTGGGATGTTTTAGTATATTTAGCAACTATCAGATCTTTGGGGCTGCCGTCGTTAACACAGGGCTATAATATTTAATATGAAGGTAAGACAGCCTTTACGAAATCGGAGCAAGACAATTTATTTACGCTAATTTTTCAAATTTATTTATTGCTCTGTTTCAAATTGATCGACCTTTGGAATCAATATAACAGTCGAAATTTCTGTAGTTTTGTTGTTTACAAATTGGAGCGTGTAAAACCGACTTCACTGTATACCGGGTGATCTCGCTGAAATGGCGTGCTATGTTTGGCGTGCTGTTTTCACATCGGTTACTAAACCCTGGACATTCGGCCGCCATCCAAGATGATGACCTCGTTGCGTTGACAAATTATATACACAAGAATATTAACGAAAATATCGAAGCAGTTTGATTCTAAAAAGAACCGATTAAATATCCAAAAAGCGCAAACTTCAGGAAATATATCAACTAGTGATCTCAGCAGAACGTCACATACCGTTTGAAAGCTAGCGGATAATGTACCAAAAAGAATATTTTAAGAATATTTATAAGTTTACTCCTCACACTGTCGGCAAAATCTTAAAAATTTTTAAAAAATAATAACTCCCATTAAAAAAAGAACAAACGTAAGAATAAAGCGTCTATACCTGCATCTTTTGTAACTGTACGTACGACCTTTTGCCTGTAACGACTAAAAAGTCCATAAAACAATAAAAATCCTTTCTTAACAATATTTATTCTTTGCACGACATACTAAGTCCATACTAAGGCCATCTGGGTCAAATTCACCCCCAAAATCCGCGCCGCGCTGTATAAATATAGTGTCTAATAACAAATTTTTTTTTCTCGGAAACCGTTAGACCTTACGGTGTTTGGATGTTCGATTTAAATCGCTAAAGGCATCCTCTAAATCATCCTAAAATTTCATCAATTTTGGAGGTGCCCAACGGGGTCATATTCACCCCCAAAGCCCACGCCGCACTGTATACCTATAGAGTCTAATAACTATTTTTTTATCTCGGAAACCGTTAGGGGTTACGGTGTTTGGATGGTTGATTTAATTTGCTAAAGGCATCCTCTAAATCATCCTAAAATTTCATAAATTTCAGAAGTACCCATCGGGGCCAAATTCAAGAGTGACCTGTGTGTGAAATTTGATTACCTAAATCGTATTGGTTACGGAATTATTAATGTTTTAAGTTTATGGCTGGGATTTATGAATAACTTCACAGCAGTCTTCGCAAGAGGGTTTGTAAGAAAGAAAATTATTTTGTGGATCCAGATGTGGACGATATTCAAGATACTCCTAAAGAGAGAATAATGAGAAGAGTGGAACTTAAAAATGTTTCTAGGGGAAAGACTACTTTAAATAAAAACAAATAAAAACCATGTAAAAACTTCTAACTTGCATAATAGCTATAATAGGTGTAGACTGGAAATCAAATGAAAATAAAGCATTTTGCTATCTGATGGATAAACAAAATGAAGATAAAAGATGAAATAGGAATGGCGACGTTAAAGTGTGGAATGTTAAAAATTAGAAAAACTTTAAGAAGATGTGTTGGTGGGACGAGATGAGGCGAGACTGAAGAAATCAAGCCAGAGCAATTGTTGAACTTATCCCTACTTTTCCTTAAGCTATCTATCTTTCTCATTTTCCTATGTAGATCATCCTTCTTGGTGATGTTGGCCTCGTTGATGGATTCCTGGATTATTTCATCCAATTCTATAAAATGTAGATTCTTGTTAAGGGTTCTGTGTTCTTGCCATTTGTTCGTATGTGATGTTCCGCCTCTTGTAGTGTCGCCTCCTCTCATCCCGCAGTATTTTTCTAATGATGTTATGTTTAGTTGTTTCTTTGAGTATGTTACACTTAAACTTCGCAAAATTTGGTATTAAATCTCCTTTTATACAAATATTAATGAATTTGATATGATTATCTATGATTTCCAGTCTCGTATATAGTTTCTTAAATCCATGGATATGTGATGAAGTATTAATGATGAAATTGAAAGAGGAGAAAGAAGCTAAACTACTTTAAAGGCATCAAAGACATTGATTGAATAAGTTTTTTACACAAAATTATTCATATTCTTGTTTTTATCATCTTTTCTCTTGAAATTTTTAGAATTAGATCTTATTAATTTGCTTCCAATGTATTTTAAGTTAATTTAATACATTTCTTCCATTATTTTGACAATTTGTGTTAGTTTTTTTCACATTATAATATTGAAAATTAGTTTTAAAAAACTTATTTATTCATCTACTTCACCCTTTTATAAGTTTAGAGTCGTTTTTTACTAAAAACTATTGTTGATCCACTTTACTACAAAAGTTGAGGTGAAGCCTATCACACTTGACGAAAAAAAAACTGTTGTTTTAGCATTTTAATAAATTTGTAGATTGTATATCTATAAAAGAAGGACCAGTAAATCTAAATTATTCCTTTCAGAATTTTAATTCAAAAGCTAAAAATGTTATTCTTAAAAAATCTGAAATTTTGTTCTTCTTCACCCCAGGGTACGGTAAGTGCTTTCTTAATTTTGCTAACTCAAATTGCTAACTAAATGGAAACCAGTTCTTAGGATATAATCTTAATTTGCCTACCTACAAAGAACAATCGATTAATTTCAATAACTTTAGACTTTTTTTAGAGAAACAAACCACAAAATAATATTTGTTCTAGTGAAACTTATTCTTCGAATATCTAAACAACATTTCTGTAATGTAGGAATTGTCGCATTAGTAAAATTTTGCTTATTAATAATTAAATTTTAAAATGTATTTTCAATATTTCCTGTTTACATTTATAAGAAATTGAGGTTAGCTTTTTCACCTGTCAAGTGTCACAATATTAAAATTAATAAATTAATTGAAAATTGTTGTTAAATATGTACTAAAATGTTCCATTGCTTAACAGAAATAAGTTATCAATAAAATTAATAATAAATAGAAAAGAAATATTTAGTTTTTAAATAATATAACATAACATTCAAAAATAGCGCCATCTATAGGTTACGGTGATTATTAAAAGATTAATTTAATAATTATTTATAAATTTATTGTATATTTATTATAATGGACTATTTTATAAACCGAATTAATTATTCATAAAATTATCAATAAATTGTCAATAAATAATAAAAAAACTTTTTTAAATAATATAACATAACATTCAAAAATTGCGCCATCTATAGGTTACGGTGATTATTAAAAGATTAATTTAATAATTATTTATAAATTTATTGTATATTTATCATAATGGACTATTTTATAAACCGAATTAATTATTCATAAAGTTATCAATAAATCGTCAATAAATAATAAAAAAACAAATAAAATTAGATTTAAAGACAACTTGCGCCATCTTACGTTGACAATTAAAATTATTAAACACCATTTTAAAATTATTTGACGTTATTTTTAATCGAATCGGGTTTAAAGTAATTTAAAGCAAGAATCGAGAAATAAGAAACTGTTAGTTGAAACCAGTGAAATAATTAATTAACTAGTGGATGTAAGGTTTGTTGAAACTTTATTAAAAACCTTGTTGAGTGGTTTTATATTTGGAAAAGTGCCCTGACCGGTTAAAAAAAACAAATGAAGATTATCTTAATGTTTACATATAGCAGGTTATGTGTTTTCTCGCAGTAATGCAGTAACAATAAGTTAATAATAATTTGTGTAATATAAGTGTAGAAAAATGTCAAGTAATTCGTCTCAGAGATTGACGTTAACCGAATTGGTTACGTTTGTAAACGAGATTAAGGTAAGATTCATAAAACGTTAATGATAAACGGGTTATATGTACATTTTTTTTAAATTTGTTCGTTAGGATTTAAGCTCTGATGATTTCCAAACCGCGTTTCATCGGGTTGCTGTAGAATTTGAACATTGTTGTAAATCGTTTGATAATGTATCGTTGATCAATACGTTAGTGGAATGTACGAAATCGTACATAAACTTGATCTCGCTGTATTTAACGCACATGGATGGCGATATGATCTCGAAAAAAGTGGCGGTTTCAACGTATATGATCGTGTTCAATACTTTAAATTCAAAGGATTGTTTAAAAAATGTATTGTTTAATAAAATTTCACCGATAATTCACGAAATTCTCTGCGATCCAGACTTAACAGAATTTGTCGGTATGGAAGTTTTGCAATTTTATAATAATCTAGCTCGGAATACGGATAAAACGATTCGAGAGAAAATAGGAGATTCATATACGTTTTATATGTAAGTATTTAACTTTTTCAATATTTAATTTATGTTTATTATTTTGCTGTTAAGTTCACTGTGGGATTATTACCGTAGTAACACCTTTATTAACACGTTCTCTGCGGCAATACATTTTTAGGAATTAATATGTACAGGGTGGCCAAATAAACGCGTAAAGTACTTTATCTCGGAAACTAGCTTCTACGATGGCCGCTAGGGAGTGCAAACGCCATCTTGAATTGAAAAATGTCGTTTTTCTCGGAATTCCCCTGTATTAACATTATAAAAGAATATGTCCACGTAAGCGACAAAGTACATGAATGGCATTAAGGAGCCAAGATACGCAGTTCTTCCTTTGACAAAAGTTGTAGGAAATTTATCACACTATACTTCTTTTTGAGGAGTGTTTCGAACATCACTGACGCTTACCGCCCAATCCTGCTGTTTTTGAGTATTATTCTAATTTAAATGTTAATAACGAGAAATATTTTAAATTCAAATCGATATCAACTGATGTAGTATACAAATTGATTAGTGGTTCGCACGAGACCAACGAGACGAGATTTTCATAAAGTCTTGTCTCGTCTCGCCGCTGAACTAATAAGTTTTGTATCAAATCTCGTCTCGCAACCTCCACTCTCGTCTTGTCTCGTTTCTCGTACGAGAGTCTCATAAAAGTATCGGAATCTCGTTATGCATGATCTTATTGTTTCTGATCTCGTGCCATTAAACTTAAAATAGGAAATTCAGAAGCATGAATTTTCCACCATTGTAATATATCTGTGTCTTTATTGCACTGAGGCATAGAATAATATTTTTGAAGCTCCTGCATCCATTCTCCTTCGGAAGGCGTAGGATTGATTTACTGCATACAAGACATCAAAATCAATTATAAAATCCGACTTTTCCACTCTAGAATCTTTTCGTTCCTCCAATGCCGTTACTTTCGAACGTTGGCCTTCTGATAGATGGAAATAGACTTTATATACATCTTCAAATTTCTGAATCGAAGTCTCTTTTAATTCTTGGCTCCATCTTGTCATATCAAAAACTTCTATCTTATGCCGCGGATCGAGAATTAAAACTGCAACATAAATCTAATTAGTTTTACGATAATGCTTTAATATTTTGTCTCTCGCAGCCTGAAAGCTAACAATAAGCTGCTCTTCGACAGTGTTTCGATCTGCCTTTCGGTCCCATGCAAATATTTTGCTCTCAATATTATCTATTAGTATATTGATACATACAACCAACATAGGAAATTTGACGTACTTCTCTCCTCCGAGTTTCTTGAAAGGTATTTGAAAGTTGACTAGTAATTTATGCACTTCTTTTATCCATTCTTTATCCTCAAGAGCATATAGTTTTAAATCAACAACATTTTGACACAATGCACTAAGTCCATGTCTACCTTCAAGAGGAGGTACTTTCAACATATCATTACTAGAATTCCAGCGTGTAGATACGAAAATATTTACAGAAATATTGCAGATATTATTTGCAGAAATACTTACCTGCGAGACTCTCGTACGAGACACAAGACCTCATGCACGAGACTCGAGACGAAACCAATAAAAGTCTCATCTTGTCTTGTCTGAGTATCGTCTCGAAAACGAGACGAGACCATGCGAGACTCTCGAAAACAAGACTCTTGTACGCACCATTAAAATTGATCTATAAATTGAAGTCTTGTTCTGAGGGCAGTGATGGGATTCGGGCGGATATGATTAAACTGGCTTGCCCTGTTATTTTGCCTTATCTTACACTGTTAATGTAAACTCCTTCATATAAGGTATATTCAAAATGTACAGTTGGTTGTCTATATTAAAACAAATCGAATACAAATATAACAACACCCTTCTTAAGCTAAATTAATGTTATTTATTNGCCAAGCATTTAATACAATTTTTTATATATTTTGCAACGTAGCGCTTAAGTTTTGGAAACCAGTACGTCTGGCGGACGAGTTCCACAGTTTTGTCTATTCCTGGATGTCCATTAGCGTCGTGTGCCGCTTGAACTATGTTCCGTCGCAAATTTTTGGGTGTTACAAACACAACCTTATTTGGCGCTGATTGGAAACAAAGAATTCCATTTTTCAATCGGAAGTTGGGGTTTGGCGACTTGTCTCCGGCTTCAATTAATTCCATCAAACCTCGTATTTCTGCATCTCTAGTTTGCATGATTTTTAGTAGCCTAGTTCCATCATCGAGGTCTTTATCAGTAATGGTGAGCATATGAACTCTGCTTAGAGCATCTACATGTTGCATAGATTGTGCGGATCGGTGTTCCAAGGTAAAACTATACTCTTCCAGCATAGCTGACCATCTAAGTATTTTGCCATTTATTTCTCGTTTGGCTAGAGCTAATTTAAGTGCGTTGCAATCAGTAACTAATTTAAATTCGATGCCTATAAGATAGACTCGAAATTTTTCTAAACTTCTGACAATAGCCAATAATTCCAAGTCAAAAGAATCATATTTAGCTTCGGTCGGCGTCGTAGTTTTAGACATATAGTAGATTGGGTGAAATTTCTTATCGTCTTGTCGCTGTAATAACACTGCACCGTATCCATAAGAACTAGCGTCGCACAGTGGTCCGAAAACACTCAAAACCCGATCGAAAATCAATTAAAAAAAAAATTTTATAGTGTTGTTTTTTTAAATGTTACATAAATATATTTTAACTATTAATAGACTCTTAGTGAAGTTTATGAAGTCTTTGATGTTTTATAATAGCAACTGCGCGAAATAAATTGCTATTACAATTACCTTATTTTGTATAAGGAAATTTTTTAGAAAACGACACAACTTTAGAAAACAAAAAAGATGGTATATCACTACTTGAAAATATTGTGTCGTTGGTTTCTTATAAAGTACAGAAAGGTCTTCATTTTACGACTTTCCAAATTTCAAAAGATGTTTGTTGAAAAAAATTACAACCATTTCTATTGACGTCAATAAANATTTTCACCTTTTTCACGCTCTGTTTCACCACATTCTTCTTCTTTTTGTTTTCTTTCAAAAATATGTTTTTCATTTCTTCTATACTCGTTTCCTAATTCGTCTTGAACAATGTAAGACCTTGGTTCTTTAGTAGGACTTACGATTTTTCCTTTTACCAATATATCATTCATCTTTTTTCTGAACATAATACTTTGATTGTTATTAAAATTACTTTCTTTCTTTGATCTCTTGTCGTAAAATTTTTTATACGTCTGTTTGTGTCTTTCTAGATTTTTTATGTCTTCATCTATTGTATTATTTGGTTTAAGTTGTTTTAATTGCATTGGAATATTTATTCTCAAGTTTTTACTGAATAAGATCTTTGCAGGTGAATTCATTTTATCTCTTGCAGTATTTCGTAAAGTATGTTAAATAAATATCTTGATTAGAGTCTTTACATTTCTTGAATAAATTTTTGATGTTCTTTACCGCGCTTTCAGCCATTCCATTGGATTGATTGATAATGCGGGCTTGATATGACATGATTAAAATTCCAGTTATCTGACAATTCTCTAAATTCTTTGCAATTAAAATACTTCGCTCCATCTGTGTAAACAGTTAGGGGTATACCGAATCTAGCAAAAACAGATTTTATTTTCGTTATTATTGTGGTACTTTTTAAGTCATTAACTTGTGACGTCTCTATAAAATTAGATAAGTAATCAACAATTACTATAAAGTTTTTGTTACAGTAGTCAAAAATATCTATGCCTACTTCTTGGCAAGGAAGTTTAGGTGTTCCTCTTAAAATTAACTTAGATTTCTGTTTGTTATCTTTATATTTATTGCAAATATTACATTCGTCAATATATTGTTCTATGTCTTTGTTAATTTTTAACCAATAAATTGTGTTAAGAGCACGATTTTTCATTCTTTCTTTTCTCGGATGACCACTATGTAGTGTTTCTAACATAATCTTTTTAAGACTGTTTGATACTAAGATTCTGTCATCTTTAAAAATTAGATTTTTAACTAATAAGTTAACTTGTAGTTCAATTGGTTTTTCTAATATCATCTGATTATCTTGTCCTATTTCAGCAACATCTCTCGATAATGTATCTGCTACATATAAATATTTGCCTGGAACGTGTACCATGTTAATGTGTATGGTTGAAGTTTAAGCATCAATCTTTGCAATCTTGAAGTTATATTGGTACTAATGGTTTATGATCCGTTTCTATTGTAATTTCTTGTCCATAGATATATTGTTTAAATTTTTCATAGCCAAAGACTACCGCTAATAATTCTATTTCAATTTGAGCATATCTTTGCTGTGCTTCAGTCAAAGCTTTTGATGCAAAAGCAACTGGTTTATTGTTTTGCATAATACATGCGCCTAATCCTTTAGAATTAGCGTCTACTGATAAAGTAACTTTATCTTTCAGGCTGAACACGAATTGTAGAGAATTTATTATTTTATTTTTTAAAACATTTAGATCTTTTTCGAAGTGTTGATTCCATTCAAATATTATCTTATCTTTTAAAAGTTCACTCATATTTGCCGTTATTTCTGCATAATTTGGTATAAGTTTGTTTAAATAATTAAAGAATCCTAATATTCTTTGCAATGATTTTTTATCTGTTGGTGATTTCAACTCAGTAAAAGCAGTAAAAGCTTTTATTTTGTCATTATCAGGCTTTATTGTTTCTTTATTAAAAATATGTCCCAAATAATTTATTTCTTCAGCCTTAAGTATATATTTTTCTTTATTAAATTTTATTTTTTGTTTATGAGTAATTTCAAACATTTGTTTTTTCTTAATTTCTAATTCCTCCCAATTTTTGGCATGTATCAAAATACGTTAGATGGAGTTTTTCATTCAATTGCAATTATAATGGGAAAAAATGTTTTCATTTCTACTCTACTTACTGGTGTCCATGCGTGTATCCTTGCACTTCTTTGATTTGTAGTACCTTGTTGTAGTTGAAGCGCATACCTGTTAGTCATAAAATCTTTGAGAAGAATCAGAACTATCTGAGAGGAATCAGAATTAATATGGTAACTTGACTAAACTTTATATTTTAAGAGCAGAAGAATCCATATTGATAAGAGTTTTTGTTGAAGTACTAAAAGTCTCGCTGTTTATTCACAGATTTATTTAACGAAAAAATACAAGAACTGGAAAAACACATACGAACACTTTAACGGTCCAACTACTTCTGTTGTGTTCTTCATGGACTCGTCCGAACATGTGGTCACCGTCATCGATCGATGACGTGATCGTAGCGGCTACAGTGTATACAGGTCAAGTGTTATGCAGATTGATTTTTGTGCCGACTTTAAAATCACCAAAGCGCATAAACACGTAAAGACTTGCTTTACTTTATTTCGATATACAGAATGAGTCACACTTGATACACAAAGAATTGTCCCGAACAAGGATTATTTAATTAGGTGTGCGACACGTCATATCACTATTTATTTTGTAATAGAGATCCTTATGTATTCTCAAATATGCCTGTGAAAAAAATTTTTACAAAACATTGAAAAATTAAAAAGTTATAGTATCCGTACCTAGAAAAAGGACAATGTTCGCGCCGCAACTCCGCAAATCTCCTTTCCGGTTAAATGTCTCGTACCGCAGCGAACGTGTTAAGTACTTACATTATGATGTTGTCGGTTAAGATACAACCCATGTTCGCGAATTTGAACAATGTATTTGTAGGTATTTGATATACCTAAAAAGTATTGTTTTAAAAACATTTATTCTGTACTTTAATTTGGCAAAAACTTAATTCAACGTCATTCTTTTTAGATTCAAACTTGTTGATATTTTGACTGCATCTAATTCTTATGAATATCAAGTATTAATTCTAGAAAATTTATTTCTGGTGTGTACCGAACAAAAACTTATGAATTTGTCAAACGATATGTTTCCGGATGCAGAGTCATTACAATATGGTCTAAAAAACTTTGATATGAAACATTTCAATTATTCGGCACGCACATTTCTTAATATAACTAATCAAATTTATGAAAGAGTTTTATCGGTAATCGTCGATGCCATTGATATTGATGGAAATCCAATTTACGGACCAGTGGTATGCTTCTGTTACTACTGATTTATTTTATTATATTTTATAAACTATTTTTATAGGACACAAGATACCAACGTCAACCATTGTGGGTTGATTTCAATAAATATTCAATTTCAATTTATTGTGAACAAAAATCGACAGTATTTTCTCAACAACATGGAAATAATATGATGTGGGAACTTATTACAGTCTTTTATGATGATATAGACGATCATGCTCATTTTAAGTAATTTTTAATCATCTCTTGAGTTTTTCTTATTAAAATATCTATACATTTAAGGTCTGCAAACGTTAATAGTACCCTTGTATTTAAAATATTCTTAAAAGACAAAGTGGACGTTATTTTTTACTCTACACGGAAGGAAGAAAAATGCAAAGTTGTTTCGATGGTGATTAATAATAGCAAGACATTTGAAGGAATAATGAATACGATTATATCGAGGATAAATGTATTCAAAAATATACAATCACACAAGGGTCTCCCCACTACCGGTATGTCTACTTCTCTTCTTTTTTTCCTACTAATATTGAATAATATTATTAATTTTAGAATTTGATGAAACAATGTCTACAATCGCTAATCGAACTCAATCGTTTAAATCATTAAATGAAATGTATCAATTTTCTTCTCCTACCTCCTCTTTAACAGTACAAAGTCCATCACAAGATTACACACGTTTACTTAGTAATCAAGTAGCAGCCGATAGTACTGTTGATGATGATTATTTAACCAATATCAATCAGAGGCATCCATCAAACATTCTTCAGTGTACATCGTTTATTAAACATGTATCGATTGCTCAAGGTAAGTACAATTACTGATTTCTTGTCCCACTTGACAATAACAATCAAAAACCAGAATTGTTTATAAGCTGTGCATGGCGTAGCAATTTATTATTTAAAAACTTAAATTTAACCTGTCTTTAAACTCAATGAATTCTACATTTTACATTTTCGCAAATGTTTTCCACTTCAGATATGACGTTACCTTAAGTAATTATTACTAACATTTGGCAATCAAGTTTCTTAACAAATAATAAGATCATTATATCACTTAAGACTAACGCTAATTATCTGTAGAACAGCTTGAGAAGTTTCGGTTCAATGAAAAAATAGCCTCATTAAAATGATAACTCTCGGTAGGAATGCACTCCTCTAGGCGGCCTTTAAAGTTTCTCATGACTCACCTTTAACTATTGGCTGTCGACCTACACTTTAGCCTTTAGATAGCCTCAGACAAAACTCACAGGAGTTAAGTTCTGGGGAGCATAGAAGCCAGAGAACATCACCACTTCGAAAAATCGCGCGTTGGCGAAATGTCGTTTTCAGTCTATGGAAACCCGCGTGGTATGACCCGAAGCTCTGTCCTGTTGGAACCAGATACTGCCAGTGTCAATGTCATTTTCTTCAATATGAGGAATTAAAAATACTTGAAGTTCTATTACGAATTCCACACCACACTGTCATCTTTTGGTTACGTAGAAGCAGTCGATGTAATTCTAGCGGAGTATCAGGTGACCAATAGCGACAATTTAACTTTTTGACAAAACCGTCAAAAAAAGTGAGCCTCATCTGACAACATTACTATTACATCTAATATACACACTGAATTTCTGATG